GTGTACAACTTGACCATCCACCTCAGACGCCATACTCCATTGCCGCTACACCTTTGATTAATGGAAAGCCTCTCTGATTGGAATAGGAATGCTGCACATCTCCCGTACTGCTGATGAATGGCTTCTAATTTTATCATTTTAACACAGATAAGCATGACTCACTCTCGTTCTGGCTGTCGTTCGTGCAATTCTGTATCCCTACTGGGCTCATAGATCCAACCTCCAGTCCGATGTCGATTTCATATCGAAGGATATTCTGGGATAAGGTGCAGGTTTATGATACTACTTGCTATCGATATGGTCATTACTTCTGACATGACGAAGAGCAGGTGATGATCCCTTTGTAACTCTCGGGGTTGACCTTACAATATTGGGGGTATTCCATATCCCGCTCGTCGCGGAGCCCCATGGGTCAAGGACACTTGGTCATGATGCTTTTGTTGACGCGAAATCGATTACACTCCTATAGCGGATCGAAACCCGCTCAAGGGCTCTTCGCGTTCTACTTACTGCGTACAGTCACAATCAGAAAACCCATTGCGCGTACAGTGAGTGATCTGTTTCCCCAAGGCCCTGCACCGTTATTTTTAACCACGGCCAGGTTGTCCGCAGTCATCACCTATGACTATATTATCCGATGCGCTGTCGTCCCTAGATTGTATCCTTCTCAGGAAAGGACTACACTAATATTCAGCCTGTGCTTTAAATGACGCTTTTGTCGTTCGAGCTGACAGGACCATGTGTAATTCAGTGTTTGTTTTCCCACTAGGTTCCATTCGTTCTGATGTGTACTCTATTTGCCAAGTCAAAACGTTTGTCATGCGCAGCGGGTAAATGACGTGTATAATGGGAGACGAACTCCGTTCTCCTGTGCCTTGTCTTTGACCTTGAGAAGTGAATTCTTTGATAGGGTCAGTTTTCCCATGATCAAGTGATGTTGATTTCGGATAGCGCTTAAGTCTACGTGCCGGGATCCGGATATATCCTCAGGCGCCGGCATCTGAGTAGTATTCACTTCTCTCGTTTACCGACAATCCTTGATGGTGCTGAGTATTTTCGTGCAGAAATATATCTTCTTATCAGAATAATCAACAGCGGATAACGGGTGAGACTGGCCCTGAAGAAATTCTCGTCTCCTTCGGGTTAGCAGCGAAGTATCACAGTGCCCACCAAAGGTTATCACAAAATTGGGTGTGGTAGGAATATACAGCGGTTCCGTGCAAGTGGTGTGTTTAACTCTGTAGTGCATAGTCAAGATATGAGCAGGCAAAGACGAACGCACATCTTGATGTCTGGGAGAATCTAAGAACCCGGGAACGCTGTCGGCCGATACTCCCGCCCGCGATGGTAGTGAGTAGGTGGATCCCACAGATACCTGCCGTTCTATGACTTCGCTTGAAGATGAGATATATTATACGACTTGGCTTCTTTGACAAGGAAGGTAGCATCGTGGTAGGTGTAGTTCCCATATAGTATATCTCCACCTACGTAGTCATCAATGTTGGCACGAGGCGTTGGGGGGCAATTGTTCCTAGTCTCCGCTTGGAATAGATATCCCTGGACCGTGGAAGTCCAGCGAGTAGTCAGCACACACCTTTACAACTTTCTCGTTTGAATGCCATCGCTTCTTGAAAGTTCTTGTTGGGTTTAAACGAACGCCCTACAGCCTCGCGCAGCATGGAGCAGAGTCAGACTGAAAGCGTTCCTGATGGGACATGAGAGTCGAGCGCCGAGGGCATAGTTTAGGGTGAGGCGTGGGGAGAATCTCCTTCAAAAAAGAGCAGGTGTCATTAAGACCGGAGGATGATCCATGGGAGCGTCAGGAAGATGCGGGGAATATGTACCTCTGCGAGAGGGTATTCCTCCGTGCCATTGCCTACGTGACTCATGCGTAGAGAAACAATGGCATCTACAGAGATGCACCACGATGCCAGAAAAGGGGGGAACACAGTGATAGGAGTGCTTTACATGCTGTTATATCAATACATTCGAATCCGTTTCAGGTTGAACCAGCGTCATGGGAAGTCCCAGCTTGAAATGGTCGAGCTAGCTCCGTAGGTTATTTTCAACACTTCTTGTTCCTTGACGGTAAGCCTTATCCGAGTCATTGCTTTCAAAATAAGCATGGGTTCAGTTAGATCGCCGGGTACTTTTACCTTGTCCTTCACTGATCGTTAATCTTATTCATTGTCGGGATCGGCATATGGGAATTTTTGATAGATAGCGCCGACGTTGTGGAATTCGATATCTATTGATCTTTAATATTGCTTCTAGCGTTGTTGATAAAAATACACGAAGCTGCTACGGTGCTACTGTTTTAGGATAATGCCAGGGGCGGACTTCCCGTAACTGTTAGATAGAAAAATAGTATCTTTTTAGAAATAGAAATTCTTGTTGAAGCAAGTTTGTTTAATCAGACGTGCTACTGGTTTTGAAGTTGAAGTTCTGCATCCGAGAGTCTCGTACAGCGGAGAGTAAGTTGAAAGTTTCAGTGATTAGTACTAAATTGCAGTAGGCTGTACCACCAGCGCTGTTCCAGGAAAGTGCTTACATTAAGAGCATGATATTTCGGAAGGGTAGCAATGCGTGGCTGTCACTAAGCGAAGTTCAGCGATTAAGCAAGCACCCACAGTACCCTCCGACAGGGAAAATAAGAAAGACGCCGAATGATTGCCGTTGAACACGTGGCCACGTGCCGATGTCCCCCCAAGTAAACAACAAGACACAAACCGTTGCTTGTTTCCAGCTTCATCCTTCTGCATTATTCGTTGCCGGTACCATTGGATAACTAATGATACGTGACTGCGTACGGTCTCCTATCGCAATTCCGTGACCTGGGCTGACCGACCTCTTGACTAATTTTCCGTCATTCGTGGCATCTGATGAACTTGAAAAACACCTATCCTATCGGCTTTGTGGATGTCTGACATCTTTAATGGACCAAAATCTCACGACATTGGCTTGTCCTGACATCATCGGAGTTTTCTTGCAATCGATTGCTCCCAACGCAGCTCTACGTGAGAAGGGTCGTGGCTATGCACCAATTAAGGAACGATGATATTCCCCCAGGATGGCAGTGGTTCTTTCTTTTCCAGCACTGGAGTTTGTACCGGGTCCATGGGAGGCGCCTTGAGAAATTTCTCGTGGTATGTGGGTGCTGGGTTATATGTCTAAAGGTCTGACGTCTACCTTAATTTAATGATATGCGAGTCTCACGCTTACCGACACCAGGCCCCAACTTTACACGACCATGGCCGCCGTGGTCTGAGTGAATGTCCTCTTTATCGGGTATACGGATATCGGAGTATGCATTGAGCGTCTTATGCCGCTCAATTATAGGGTGCGTCTCCGTTCACTGGATCAATGAAATCCGACGCTCGTGGTGGTGGGTCTCCCTTTGTTGTTTCTTGCCATATTCATTAGGGACTGTTCCTAGTTCAAATTCGCCATAATTGTGATCTCGAGGCGTTCATCAAGGAACGAATTCATCGTAACCTCCCTTCCTGACATAATATGCTAACCACTGTTGGTCTGAAGGATCCCTGTTTATCTTGTACGTTACTCAACCTGACTGAATATTGCCTACTCGTCCCTTAGCTCTTATTCAAGGGGGCTTTCACGATCGGTCCCAGGATCGGTTGCGAGGCGTATTATCGGTGCTTGATCCGCAGGGGAAGGTAGATCGTGCTCTCCTTGATTTCGTCTCTTTACTTTCCGAAATATCATGCCAGACTTTCTTTGTAACTTTCCTCCGCTCTAACAACTAGGCATCAGAGCCGCTGATGCTTTGGCGTTTGTTTCATTCAGTACACTCAATGGATCATGCCGTTTGTGATCGTAAGCCGTTACGACATCGTTCAGGACCCACTGACGTGACAATCCTGACACATTGCTCTCGCCGCAGGACTGAATTAACGTTCTGGATGTACTCTTCCGGATGTGTTTCTTGATATGCCGCATCGCCGGTGTGGAATGCATGTGAAGGAGGTGTGTGTACGTTATATGCTTATCCCTTCGTTCGGGAGATGGTAGCTCAGTGACGATGTCTTTCAGTGCGAGTACCACCTACGTCTGCTCCGCTATCGATTGATCTAGTCGAAGACCAGGCTGTGCTGTTAACTGCTTTGCCGCAGGCGTTATGATGTGCCTATGCGGCAACTAAACACAGGCGACAGAGGAGAAAGTTACGCTGTGATGAACAAATGACTTATCCTTCTCCTTTAGAGCCAATCAGGACAATGATCTCCAACTGAGAAGAAGGAGAGCGCCGAAAGACTGGATTTTTTGATCTGGCGAACCGCTTCTAAGCGAGACAGACAAGAATGACCAACGATTCACAGGGTGGTACACGCGGGCCGCACATCCAGGACTAATTTGCTGTTGAAACGCCTTCGAAGGCGAGTGAAATTCTCCGTTCCGTTCCTACTTCCAGCGGCGCATTATCTCATCCGCAGCCCCTACAGATCTATCTATTCTAGATGAGAGGTACATACATTTGAAGTTGAGCAATGTCGGGCAAAAGAAGCATAGGCCGGGGGGGCCACATGGATCGACTTTTTCGGAGCCGTTGACCAATCGCGTACAATACCGGAGCAGGGCCGGCAGTTTATTCACAGGAGAGGTTCGAAATAACGGTCCTTATTGCCGTAGGTCAGAGTGACGCTTCTTTGGTGGCTTATTCTGATAAGACAGGCTCGAAAGCATCAGGGAATTGGACAATAACAGGGCACTGGAACGTGGAGGGCCACGTAGCGTCTTGTCTTCTCAGAGGACGTGGATGGACACGAGGGCATTATTGCAATGAATGGCAACCACGGTTCGTTACAACAGTGATCGGTGGTACGAAAACTGACAGATTCACTTTGAGATGACATTGATTGCAAAAATCACTCCTCGGCCGCCTGCGATTACTGTATCGGGACATCGTGTGTAATTTCCCAACTATTTAAATGCCATGCAAATCCTCCGAGGTACTCCCTTAGACGACCCTCCTACTATTCATGCCCGCTGAATTGACGGATTCCAAGATGAAACGACGAACGCGACGAAAGGGTACTGAAGACTTCTACAAGTTTGACAGTGCTCTTGCTCGAGAAGTCGAAGACAAACGCAGCAGAGGTTCGTCCTGTGCCATTATTGAGTATCACTCGCTGACGTCAGTTCCCAGGAGAGGTGTGTACCTGCCGTGATCTTATTCTATGCCATCTGAAAAGCGTTAGGTGAGCTGCGCGGAATGCAGGAGACTCAAAATCAAGTGCGACAAACAGATACCATGCCAGTCTTGCCAGGTGAGGCACTTGTTTGCAGATGCTGTATGTGCTAACACCGTTCTCTAGCGTCGAGGGTGCGCGTCCCTATGTCCAAACGGTAATACACCGCATTTCCCCTTTCTTTTCCGATACTGATGTCTCAACAAAGGTAGTTTATCGACGGGCCAAGGCACACGCTTTGTACTAGCCGCAACCGAGCACCTTCATCGAAAGGTTGCACGTCTTACCGGGCGAATTCGCCAATTAGAAGATGCCTTATCGACGACACAGGCGCAGTTCTCCGACACTCCCCATCCGTTATTGCATGACGACTTCGCAGAAAGCGAGGGTTCACCCTGCGCTGATGTACCTCTAGATGTCTCGGAAATGGCTTCGATGACCGAGGTCCCGGATATGCACGGTACCCTTGCTGTCTCAGACCATGGTGTATCTCGATTCTTTGGGCTTACCGGCGGCTTGGAGGTGAGTTATATGTTTTCTTTTCACGCCATACATCTAACAGTCTTCTAGAGCTACTTCCTCGCATCTTCCTGTACGTCACCGGTGAGCGAGGCCCATAGTCCGGACTCTCGGCTTGGCTCCCTAAGCCCAACGTCTACGGTCTCCCCAGCGAACGATCTGTCTGTTCTTTCCCAAGGCTTTCCTTTCCCCGTGACACGAAACGGCGACGATATTCACGAGGTCATCCGGGACCATCTGCCCGTCTGGGACCAGGCGCTTATGTTGACGAACGTGTACTTTGGCCAATTTTCTTGGATATTCCACGGCGTTTCGCGCGATCAGATTGACGAGATGCTGCCGGTCATCTACCGAAAGCAGAGTGTCCCGTCTTCAGATGAGGATTACACGGGTCCTCATGATCTTGCGCTTCTCTTTGTTGTACTTGCAATTGGGTCCTTGGTGGATGGGGAACGCGGCGCTGAACAAGCGGCACGCTTCCATCAAGTTTCCAAGGCGGCGATCTGTCTGCAGTCAGTCTTGGAGAAGCCGTCAATTGTCACTGTTCAGTGCCTTCATCTCATGAGTGTATACAATGCCATGAATGGCGGTGATGCGGCAAATGGTACGACTATGGAGACAACCTGGTCGTTGACTCACCTAGCTGTCCACTTGGCGCACACCGTCAGTCTTCTTTTCGTTTTCTTTGTTTATTCACTGACGTTTCCTTTTTAGATTGGTCTTCGTACGTTAATTTCATTTCGCACCCCAACATTAGGCTCTAACACCTTTCAGACCGCGACAGCGAACGCTGGGGTCTTTCGAACAAGATGGTTCAACGTCGTCGCAACCTGTTCGTTGATCTTTACGTGGCAGACGCCTGGCAGGTACGCCGCCCCGAACAAAGTCGTTTCGCCCAAACTGAATGATACCTCTTAGAGTCTTCACACCGGTCGCCCCGCCCTCATTCTCGATGGCATATTCGGATTGCCATTTCCCCGAGTACGACTCGAGTCATGGAAGCCCCAACGACGTCCAGTGTAAGTTGCTCCGCCGCTTATCTCCGTGTTTTATCCGTGTAATGATGATGTCCTTCAGTTTGCATCTTCCAATTCCGCTTCGCATCAGAATGCGTCTCTTCTGTTTTATCACATACGCTTACTGCAGAGGCTCCCACTTATGCGACCATTTTGGAGCTGGATCGCAAAGTTCGCGAATATCCTCTACCTGAGTCTCTGTACCCGCAGGGCGATACACCGACTTCTTGGCAACGATTCATTCTTGATCATATTCGGGAGTCAGGTATTTCCGACTTCTTGGTTGTATTCGCAGAAGCTAATTTCTGGCATGCAGTGTTGATGTATGTTCACAGAAGTTACTTCGCTCAGGCCCTGATCGAACAGCCCGACAATCCGCTGAAGAGTAACTACGCGACATCCGTGCTGGTTACAATGCGGTCCTCTGCGACTATTCTTAGATGCGTTCGAGACCAATTCAACCAATGGAATAGCGCCTGTGGTAGATATTGGACCATGTGGACTTTTGCCTTTTCCGCAGCTGTGTGTTTTTTTTTTTTCAAGTATCTGTCCCGTAGGCTTCTACTCACTTTGGAGAATAGGTTGTCTTTGGTACCGTCGTCACAGGAGCTCCTCGGTCTCCACTTGCCGGTTCTGCTATGTCAGAACTAAATCGTGCTTGTGTTCTATTCTCGAAAGCCGCAGTCCACAGCTCTTATGCGAAAAAAGCACTGGTACGGATGGTTTACTTCCGACGTGTTAGACTTTGTTCTCACATCTCAATAACAGCCGGTCCTCACCAAACTCAGTGAAAAAGCCCATCACGCCCTGGCAGCTGCGCAAAATGATGCCACACCTATTTCTTCAGGAGACAGGGAGGGTTCATTGTGGCCTATCAAGGCAGAAGATTCCACGGATGAAGATCTTCTGATATTTGCCGGACATACCCGGTTCCTTTCGGCAAAGCGCAAGATGATGGCGCGCGACTTGTCTGCCTCTTCTCCCCCCAACGTATTCCACTATTATGACGCCGATCGTACGCCTCCTTTCACCGCAGAATACCAGCATTCCAATACATCCCAGTCCCATTATTCGTATTCCTACGACCGGAGCCGGCCCTCCGGCCCACCGTCGACCATGTCGAATCCTAACTTTGCGTTCGATTGGGCACAAGAGCATCAGCATCAGAGCCCTCATCCGACGTCGAGTGTTCCTCCCAGGCGTCTATCACGACCGCTACTGACTTCAGATCGACCCGAGCATCCGCGGGAGATGTATCTGATGCCGCCGTCGTCTCCGTTAGGCAATATTCCATCAACGGATGTTAGCCTCCCTACATTTTCAGTTCCTTCCGAGCCTTGTCTTCAGGAGCGGTGGTATTCGTTTCTCCAGAACTCGGGCGTAATGGAGCACGAATCATTCAATTGACATCTTCAAAGGCGCACGTATGTATTGTTGTAATTATAAAGCATCTCTCAGATATTGTTGGCGACGCTTTACCCACCATGGACGACGGATTGTAGTATACAAACTGTAGCTTGTACTCGGGTAGCTGTTTTGTATTCTTATCGCTTACTTATTGCCCTTGCCTTTGCGGAGGGTATTTAAATTATCACATTTGTTTTCACCACATGATACTGGTCTTTGAAATATATTCTGTCTTCAATTAAATTCTGGCTGGTGACTTGAGAATCACGCTTCTCTAAACTGGATGGTCTAGTGGTCTCCCGCGGTGAGAGAATCGCTAGCCACCAATAGACAACTGAAGTGCAGCCGGCAATCTTCAACACGGCTTCCAGAGAATTACACGATTGTTCGCTGTGCTTCGTTTTCGTGCCTTTCGAGGACGGCTCTATCATCACCTTTGGGATGGTACCTGTGATTAGTGGTGGCGGCCATATCCACCCCTCGCCCCATCTCAGCATAAATGTACCTTGCTTGTTTTAAGGTTCGCAGATCAATAGAAATACCGCAATCTGGACCCTCGACACCGAACAAATATTCTTAGCTATGAGAATACATCTCGAACTAAATACCCCATGACAATGGGAACTCTATTTCATCGAGAGACCGATTCAATGTTTAACTGCGCTGGTATGCGATAGACGGATCTCCGATGAAAATAACAGCCACCAGAGAAAGTCTTTTAGAATTACGAACCGATCACAAGATCGCGATCCGTTTACCAGATCGTTCGTACCTTGGCTGCGCTTTCGAGTTCTGACCTTGAGTACTGGAACACCATCTGCTCTTCATCATCACCTGGAGGATCCACCAACTTAACATCATATTCCCAACATATTCCACGGGAGCGCCGTAGTCGGTCAACGGTGTCAGTTAATAAGCTTTCCTACTTCATTGATAAGCATTGTTTAATAATGATTAGTTGAACGGTAATATGATTCCGAGCTGAATAATTGCCGCCGCGACGTCAAAGTTGCCCAATTGAATAGAAATGCTTGGACCTCGCGGGTTATTCCAGCGTAAGCGCATGGACTACTGATCCGAATGCTTGTTTTATACTGGCAGAATTAAGCTCTATTATTGCGACGGGATCCGCACAGACCGATTAGAAGCAAATGCCGTTACAACTATGGCAGCGGCGGTAGCAGAAAGAATTGTGCGAGGGACCTCTCACACTAGTACTCCAACAAAGGTATCTCAAAAGGTGTCGCGCCTTTCAGCGAGATGGTTCCTATTACGCAGTCACCCTATTCGATGCCTTAATCTCAAGAAGGCGGGGAAATTTCGCTAAAATCCAGAGTCTTACAGGGTGGCCGCGCAGTAATTCGACTACAGATCACGAAAGATAAGTTCGAGGCGAGGGAATGTTGTCCCATATAAGCGCTGATATCACGGTCCGCATTCCGAAGCATGAGGTACGTTGTATGATGCCAAGCCACTTCTTTGTGACTGGACTTTCCAAAAACAGGTTACAACACGCTCCTTCCTAAAAAAAATTGCATCTCTCCGTCTCATATCATTGTCAAGAACGCAAATGCTATTCGGATTTCTCCAGAGAATCTCTTGGACCTCGATCCTTACCGGCGATATCAACGTGATACCCCGGAAGAATTCATATCTCAAGGCCGTTTCGTCCAAGGTTCTTTCAAACAACACTCATGTGGTTCAAACCTGTTGTTCAGATGACTCTGTATTCACTTAACAAGTTTCGAAAGAATTTTCAAATACTGACAGTCGATATTTACCCCTTCCGCAAGGGAAATACCTCCGCCATCACTAGATCTTGAGGACTCTAGCGCCACAGGTGCGTCCTCGGTCATGCGTGCGCATGGGTGATTACCACAACTCATTCTGTAAATACCAATAAGAATATCAATACAATTGATGAACCTGAGAACATCTTTCGACGAGGGACTCTGACTGATATGACGGCAATGTTGTGAATGGTATTCAAGTTCGCTGAGGTAGCCACTGTATTGAATCGTCCTGGTATTTAGAGCGCATCGCAGCTTACTACTGCTGCCGTTTTAGAGATGGCCATTGAAGGGCACATTCACTAAGAGATGCGTACTACTTCAGACGTTATGCCCCTTTGTTACGTGTTCTGCATTGTTTCCCGGCGGCCTATAATCAGTCGTCGCTCCAGCTTCTATTCATAGGCTGATGTATCCTCCGCCGCCATTCATTCTGATTCGGGCTGAGCCGCTTCGCTCATTACGATGGGAACTTTGTACTATTGGAGGTCATAGGCAGTCAAGATCACAAACATGCAACTTACGTGTAAACCCACATCCCTCCCCCCCCCCCACTTGTTCCGTGAAAGAGTACGGCGATAACCCTTCTCTGTGGGGTTCCTCATACGCCAGTCTAGAGCCGGCGATCCTGTAATTTACGAAAACCCCGAATCCATCTCCCTCAGTCCTTCCGCTTGCTGTTATTCGCGATTTATGTGTAAGCATAGATTCTTGATTAACAGCCAGTGTTCTCCTCCGCTGATTTTGTTCCCATGGACATGGATGTTACGAGGCCAAGAGACATTTCATCCCCTTGTAACCAGATAGTTATCTTTCGCTGGCCGAACTTAAGTTGTGCCGCCCTCGATCACCCATCATTCACGTGTATACCCCTGGAACCTTCTTGACGAGTGCGGTTGACCGCAGAGTTATTTTTGACCACGGTACGCTATGACGCATGACTATCAAAAACTCGTATAATTCTATTATTTGAAAAGGCAGATTAGCCCTGCAGAACATCGCGAAGAAAAAGTAGGATGCAATGAATATAGCCATAGACGAGAAGGAAACGAGACAATCTAACAGTCTAATAATGGAATCCGTGTGAATAATAATAATAATTAAGATGCTGAACGACTTCCCTAAAACCTTGAGTCATCAAATACACCAACTCAGAGATTAATGAAGTGCGTGTTACCCATATCAACGGCCGTAAACCTGCGGGGATCACTGTAATAAGCTCTAGCACCCCATGGGAAAAGAAGGGGAAAAAATTCCATACCTTGCTAACCGTAACCCGTTTCCCCTTCGGAGGAACAATGACACACCCTCCGTGAGCGAGAGGGACAATAACCATCTGGCTAGGTTTGGCATGGATAACGCTGTATCCTGAGCCCTTCGAGTTATTGGAAGAGCTGGGGGCTGACAGGGCGCGTGAATGCGATGAAGAATGGCTGGGCGCTACGGAGGGAACGTGTCTCGACACGTGGCTCGGTATAGGCGCAGGGACAACAGCGGGCGACGCCGACACGCTGTGTGACAAAGACCGAGAGATATGTGACGACGAGTGATGGACAGATGGAGTAGGAACAATTGGAGGAGAACCTATGACGCTTCCCCCAACCTGTGACGCGCTATCACTGGGGAGAACCGTACTGGGTGCCATCGACCATCCAGCAGAGCTGTGCCGATATGCGGCGCTCGATACATGCGAAGGCGGCGCGAAGGCACGAGAACGGGACGAAGAATGATGGGAAGGTGCAGCTGAGGGTGCTGGCGGAACAAAGCTCCCCACTTTGCTCCCCGAAATTACTGCTGGAGGACCCTTGAAAGACGCATGAGAGGGAGAATGTGAAGGCAAGTGCTGTATTCGATCTGAAACACGGCTCTGGGGTGCGTGATGTCGAGTAGCCGTAGAAGGAGAAGCACGGTAGACTGACATACGAAGTGGTCGATAGTAATGGTACGGTGCAAATAACAAACAGGGTCCGTTGGAGCTGTTCAGAGAAACAAAGGCTTATCTCCAAAAGGAAATTCGAAAGTCGTTCCTTTGATTGCCGTATGTGCCGCAACTTGACGCGTTGCTAGGGAATCAGAGACGGAGATTGTCGCCGAATTTGACCCAAGACTACAGTAGGAGCATATTACCTGAAGACACGCCTAATGCGTCACCGAGGGGATTATACAGTAAACACGATTCGTGGAGCCCATTCCCGAGCGCGAAGTTTCATCTCGGATGAAATACCAAGGAGATTTCCAGCTGTAACAGAAGGAGAATGGGACCCTCGAGGCATGAGGCGATCAACCTGATTAACCTTTGTCCAGCTACAAAACGGTCGAATTCAAATGCGATGCGAAGCGGAAACGAAATTCAAATATTCGTACCGTTTGTCCCGTGCACTGCTGCTGAACCGAGATGTACTAATGTAGCCGAATGCAGCCAACTGACGATGATCAGACGGCTTCTAGAACTGGAGCTGCCTGAACAAATGAAACGAGGACTGGGGAGGGAGACGAGACAACCTTGTTCACGTCCAAGTAACTCATGCTCCAGCTGCGGCGGTGATGTTCTGCTGTAAGATGGATGGTGCCAGGGCGTGATACGGTGGCGTATCGATAGGTAATCAACCTGGTTGGAGTTGGAAAGTATCTTTATCTTTAGCAATCGACCACCGACAAGGAGTACGTGACACCACCACCATCCGGTACCCTTACCCCGATAGCCCACTCGGAGGATGCGAGCATGGCCGAGATCAAGAATACCAACATACGTACGTAGGTTATCTTGATACTACGACCTCGGAAGATGTTGGTTATTGACCACCGGAGAACTGCGACAACGAGGAGTTAGAAGAATATACCATATTCACAAGTTGATCTTCTTCTCTCGTACCGTTCTAAGATCACATGAGGAACGTGTTATCTAGCCCGAGGGAATGGCGCGCGCAGGTAGGTTTAGGGGTAGTTGATAGCTGGAGGGAACGAGTCAGATAGAGACCGAGGTAACTAGGGAACTGTTGAACTTACCAACTTCACCAGGGGCGAAGATACACAATAACCATAGCGCGTACAGGACCACCGTATCCCCATCAGTCGTCCAGAGATCTTTCTTCTCAGCGACGTTGTTAAGACTTTACAGTGCGGTGGGTTCTTCGACATGCGAACGACCCGCAAACACCGAGGCAATCAACGACACGTCCCTGTCAGGGAAGATATCGCAGTGTAGTCCATATCGTACTATATTGGCGTGAGTTTTTGAGTATAAGAAGAGAAAGAATTGTGTTTGACCTTGGAAGCACGTAACAGGACACGAGTGAAGGAAAACTTGGAGATTTACGGTCTATGTCTGGCAGTCATCGCAAGTCGAATAAAGCCACTTTACAGCAACATGCTTATGAGCGAGAGAGTGCACCGAGAATGGCCCATGCGTGAACTTAGAGCTAAGGATTGGTCGAAGGAAAAAAGCTTATTAGGAGTCACGATTGGGACTGGTCACAAGATAAAGATCATACAATTCCACATCGTAGGCAAAACACGGAATTCCAATAGCGCTAGCCTTATGTCGATGGCTTCTTCAATTCAGCGCTGAACAAGGTGAGAGTCGAAAAGATACCACGCTACTTGCCTTCCGGTCCGGCCTCCGGCCGTTTCGGAATCGTCCTTGGTTCGAACTCACGAACATCGAAGAATTTATTTAAAGCCTCGTATTTCTAATCTTCCAGTCAGCGAGGATCCGTAGAATTCATTCCCCATAAAGGTGTGGCTTCCAAATACGGAGAGGAGGGCACGTCGATGTTACTTGGGAAGGCGGCGTCGCCAAAACATTGACGCGCAAGAAGACGCACTTGTTCATAGCAAAGAATCCAAGGCACGGGAGATTCGTATCCTCTTATGGAACTGCGGTTAATCTTTCCCTGTCAGGTCTCCCTTCACTTGCAATTCACTTGGCGAATAGAATAGAAAACAATGAATGGGAAAGTGGCACATGTTACCTGACGTTTCAAGAGTACAATCAACGTTCGATGTACATCAAGGATCGTACCTAGAAAATGGAGATTCTAGTATGTGCGCCCACTAATAGGAGCTTGGTGCGTCTGGGCATAGACTTGTGTACGGATAAGGCCCCCGAGCTACTCGTTCCTGGCACAAGAATTGTTCTCGGCCATGATGAGGATTCAAGGGAGTTTTAAGACCCAAGAGTAAACATCATATTCTGATCGGGAACACGCAGAACTCGTATCTCCGGGCATTCAAGTATGAGAGTATAAGCTCGATTACGCGCAGAGAGATCCTTCTGTGTAGTAAGATACGGATAGTCATCCCACAACTCGAGGGAGGACATCCCAGACCCGAAAGGCTTCCTTGGTCTGGTGAGCATTAATCTCGGAGAAACTGTAGTCCTTGAATAAAAAGAAGACTATACATTTCGAAGAACGAAACATCCTGGTGCCATAATAAGAGAGTCACGCAGTCAAACAAAGTAAGCCCAAAGCGTTGGCTAACGTTGAATGGTGCGGATATGAATGCCGATCGACTCTTTTTTTGAATGTTTACTTTTAACTGCAAATATGTGCTCGTGCTGTATGTTGATTAACTTAAATCATTATGAAGCCTTCCATCCAGATTAAGTGATCGTACCGCTATGCATCGGATTAATTAGGTTAGGTTTCTTTTCGATCGGAGCCGAAGTGCCTGAAGCTATAAGTGATATCATTCCATTCCATATGATGATCTCTTGCAACATACCATATTGACGAATCCTTTGCGAAAAAAGTGTGAGTGAAACGAACCATTGACTGATTATTGTGAGCGGAAGGGTTACGTTCGACCTAAAACCCACACTTACACGCGGTGGTTGTCTATTCAAACGAATGCAGTGACTTGCGACTGATCTTCAAGAGGACTACCAAATCCAGGATTAGGAATGGTTTGAGGGACGTAGAAATGGATTGTTTATCTGTATTTTAGCTGCGGTCTTGATCGACTGTGATCTTCAGCGGAACAGTGAATAGAAAGCGCAGAAAGGATAGCTCCATGACAGCAGTGAGGTAGAAGAAGTATTCTTGGAGTTCGCAACCATCATGTCCTGTACAGCAAGGCCCTCCTTCAGTGACGTTACCTACGGCGCCTTCCAACTTGAATGGAACAATAGTCATTCCATATGACAGCGGTTGTGGTTCGATGATTGTCCTGCTGCGTAGAAGGAATTTATGGCTGCGGTTTCGGAATCGGCCTTTTTTACAATCCAGCGGGAACCAATAGACTTGGGCGGGACCAATGAGAGCTTGTTGGCGAACATTGCAGAACGTGTTACCTATTTTATGGTTGGGTGATCTGGTAAGTATTGCATAGTGCGGAGCATGAAGTAGTCCTGCGAGGTCGTCTTATAGGAGAATAATGAAGAGCAATACACTATTCCACAATGTAGAATAGCGACATCAACAATAACCAGTATGAGACGCTCAGAATAGAGATTCGAGGCGGAACTGTGAGTAAACACGCGCATTTCCTGTATCGGAGAGATCAGAGAACATCGGTGGACGCGAATGGCCAAGGTCATCGGTGAACCCAAAATAGAAGTCAGATCGGTCTTCGCCGGCATCGTCGGCTCTTTAATTCGAACCACGATGAACTCGCTACATTTCTGACTCGCGCTGTCACGGCTTGGAATACCTACCTCTACGCCATCAGGTTACATCGTATATCAATACACCGCCTTCCAGGAATGAGAGCAACCCAAAATCGGACGGCGGAGCGATTCGAACGATGATGTTAAAATCAGTTGCAAAGTCCGTACTTTCCTTTACATTCTATGTCTCGAAGTATTCAATTACATATAAATGCGGCAACCTGAATAAGGGAAAACTCTGGGTAAAAATTGAGAACGCCAGGCAGTGCGCATCTCTTCCAAAACGACAGGAAGGATACCCCTGTAAGTATGGAAAATGTATTCATCTATGTTAAGGTAATATTAACGGAGATGCACGTGTCCTTTCATGCGCCTTCGTGGACGAAAATCTCGGAAAAAATCAAAGAGAAGTTTGCCATTGTGTACATCGTGGCTCCCATTCTGAGAAGCTCGCGATATCCTCTGCAGAGTTTCTCACTGACTATCACATAAGTTTCATTGCCCTGAGGAAAGGATACTTAACTACCATGTCCGGTAAATAAAATGTATATACTCACTTTATCCTGACTGTAATTTTTGCTGACAGGACGCATCACGCCCCAGTCCGTCTATGTTCTTGTTCGAGATTGGATTTTTCTACTCATATCTATCAAAACCGGCACGTTCTAATGAACGTCTGGCTCAATGCCATCTGATGCATGTGCGACATAGGAGTGTATATCAACCTAGGAAGACAAATCTTCGGGAGGAATCTTTTTTCAGTTTAAGCATTCTAATTTTTGTCTCGAATGCTATACCCCCCAAAGATGCAGTCATCGTGTGTTACTACAGTCGCGCCAAGCTTTCCTCTTTCTAAGAGGACAAATTATTCTTTGGATTCCTACCTAGTGTCGAGCGCTCCCGACGTCGATTTTCCTATTCCCACGTTTCTCCGGTAATATGTGTGTGGTGGTTCTAGCCGCTCCATTTATGGACCCCCCCTACTTGCGGAACTGGCGCGTTGATCTTTCGCTATATAGCTCCCTTCTGATCTCTGAAGGCTTGAACTTTTCGTCGAATCAATCATGGGATGGCATCGCTAAGCACTGACTATGGCCCTTCGTAACGAATCTGATAGCGAATGATATCACTAGGAAACCGTTGCACCGTCAGAAAGGATACGGATCTTGGCAAGGGCTACTAGAGTGACAGTCTACGAAGGGTCAAGAAATTCATTCACTGGACATTCCGTCGACCCTTCAAATGGTCGGACGAGGAGGGACGGTCTGGAATTTGACGGGATTGGGATTCCTTCGAAGAAACCAAGACAATGAGGACTCGAGAACCACATGAGGGATTTCAATATGTTTTTTTCCCACCCTCGTTGGTTCGAACCACGATGCGGCCATCTATGACCGGGTGTTAATTCCATCTCCTGTATTGATTTCAACTGTAATAACAGCGAGTTCCTTGAGAACGACTCACTATCGTTGCTCATGAGGCGAGGGGGCTTCCCGACACGGGATCGTTCTGGACCAGGCAAGGAAAAGTAGTTCTCCATATTCTTTATTGCTTATCGCCAGCTACGACGGAACGAAATTATGACAGCCG